AGGAAAAAAATGGAAACAAGGTCTTTGTAAATAGGGAAGGGTGGAGGGGGTGGGGTGAAGGGAGGGCAAGGGAAGGGGAAAAAAAATAAGAACCAAGAGACTCATGTAATGGTACAAGATCCCAATGATGTATGAAACTGTATTTTATACCTAAAATGTACCAATAAAGTTAATGGGGAAAAAAAATATTCCTTTTAGCTTATGTGTATTAGTGTTCTTTGTGTATTGTTTTAACCAAAGGTGAATTTATCTGACATCTTTTTATGGAACTCATATTTTTCTTCTAATAAATCCATCAAAAAAAAGAAAGGCTGTAGATTTTGTAGCCTAGGCATTGAATCTGTTTTTTTGGGGGAGTTTTAAAAAAAATCTCAAATCTATTTGTTTCTTGTTTAGAATGCTTTGGACCTATGTTCATATTTTTTGTGCCCAGAACACATGTAGCAGTGATGCTTACTTTCCTGCCCAAGGCCTAGTTAAGGCCTAAAAAGGATTTCTAAGAGCTATACACGTGTTGTCTCAGTGGGACTATACTCTACTCACTTCTTCTTGGCACTTGTCATCTTCTTCCGGCTCCTGTACTGCATCCTTACGATAAATGGGAAAAAGCTTAACTCTCCATCGTGTGTTTGGAGGAATGGAAAATTGTGCTCATGAAGACTGTTTTGTTTTCATCTTCTTTAATGCCTGAAATTTCTGTCACTGGGAGTTATTCCTGTTTGCTGAAAGTATCATTATTTCTCAAAATTAAAAAATGAGATTTGTTATGAATGATACAGAAATTCATAATTTTGAGCAGATTGTTTCAATTAAGATTAGAAATCAGGCTAATATTTTTTGAAAAAAATTAACTTAAAACTATAGCCCATATTCATTGTTGAATAAATAGAAAATATTAACAGAAAGTGACTTAGAGGTTGTCTTAGTTATTTTTCTCATTGCTGAGACAAAATACCAGATACCCAGAGTTAAAGCAGAAAAGGTTTATTGCAGTTTGCAGTTTGTAGAGGTTTCAGTTAATAATTGGCTGGCTGCAAGGCAAAGTGGCATTGCAGAGCACAAACAGTTTTTTTTTTTTTCTTGAGGCAGGGTCTCATTGTGTAGTCCAAGCTGGCTTTGAACTCACTATGGTACCCTAGGCTGGCCTCAAACTCACTATGTATCCCAGGCTGGGCTCGAACTCTCAGCGATCCTCCTGCCTCAGCCTCCTGAGTGCTGGGATTTCAGGCGTGTGCCACCATGCCCAGCTAAAGATATTCTTTTTATGGGAAGTTTCTATTTGAAATTATGAGGAAATCATGACCTGGGGCATAACACCCCCCCCCGCCCCGCCCCCAGCTTCCCTTTTGTCTCAGATCAAGGAGAAATTTCCTAAGTGGCTACTAGTTGAAATCACAAACTTCTGAACCCTCTTGGCTCTGTGGCCTGTCTTTTAAGGTTAAATTTCATTCTGACGAATTTCTTTGTGGGCAAAATGAGAGTGACAGAGGAGGTAGGGAGTGCAGTTCGATTGTCACCCTGCCGCCAAATGGATTGCCATAGAATCCTGGCAAAGGGAGGGCTTAATGGGAAGGGTGTACTGAAGTGCTTAGTAAAGTTTGAATGACTGAGTCACTTGGAAGCTCTGGAAGACCCCCCAAGAATGGCACTAATGACTGATGCCAGACTTGACAGAAACTGTTAAGGCTATACCATAGAGGGCAAGGAAGCGACTCAAATAAATAGAGCTGCAGCATGAAATCGAGACTACTTTTCTGCTTTGGAGATTTGGCCAGCCATAATTCAGAAATTATTTGGAAATTTGAACTACAGTTCTAACCTGCCAACAGCACCATTATAAGCACAACTGAGTGCATGCTAAAGTACTATCCCCAAGTCTTATAATTCCAGTTGATTCAGATGCATTTTAAGAATGGGGAAAAGATGTCAATTTAATAACATGGAAATTATTAATCCTTATACATTATTTCCTAGTTTAGGAGAGCTGAGATAGTGGGGTAGAAGGATAAGCTTTAGATGAAGAGAAACAAATCGTGAGCTCTGCTACAAAGATAACAGGAGCCTTTTAAGCAATATTTTTAAGCAAATTGGAAATGAGTACCTGCACCAAGGACCCCCTCTCCATAGCAGAGCATCTGTGCTTTACCTGGATTTCATAGTGACAGCCTTCTTTTTTCTTTTTTTAAATTAATTTCATTGGTACATTTTAGGTATACAATATAATGACATTCATCATTGGAAATTTGTACCTTTACATAATCTCTCTTGGTTCTTATTTTT